GTTGGGAATAAAAATCCTACTGAATTGTATGTCTAATTTGCATTAGTAGTTACTGACATAAATGCAGATTAGAATCTTTCTAAGGAAAGGATGGAACCTGGTTTTTCATATTTTCACCGTACCTCTTCAAGATGGTTAGCATTAGCACATGAAGATGAAAATACTAGCTTGTGACTGCAACACAGACTCTAAATAGTAGAAGCAGGACATTTTCCTCCTTAAATCCTAAGATCCCAGCATGTTTCCGCATTGAAATTACCAGAAGCATATTCACTGACTTCAGAGGGCAACAGGACTGGGTTCTGGTGACTGATTCAAAACCCGGTGAAGTCAATAGGAATGTTTTCTTTCATTTCCACAGCATTTTGATTAGACCCTTGGAGAGGACAAGCACTCATATCCCAAGCACTATAAATTAATCAGACTGCATCTGCAAAATGTGCATATTCTGCCTAGTAGCCGAGTTCAGCACAACTATTACTCATTTCTCTCAGGAGATGAAAGCTATTTTATCATTTCATCGAATATTACCTTCTAAAAGGTTTGTTTCACCTTAATCTAAATCCTTACCCTGAGCAGTCTTAAACATGGCATGGCTGGTGTTCCTTTCCTTCTCTCTTCAGAAACAAGGGTTTTTCTTTTCTAATCCTTCTGGCCCTTAAACAGGTCTCACTGTAACATCCTTATTACCATACAACTATGGTGGAAAAGCTTGTTTTTGCAGATACTTCTCCATTTAATTCATGCTATTTCTTGTACTGACACATGCTGAAAGTTTTTTGTGTACAAAGGCCTATGCTTAAGCTTTCTTACACCTTCTCCCCTTGAAGAAACTTGACTTGTTCCCAGCTACAGCTAGGTGTCAGGGAGCAAGGAAGATACGTCCATGAGAGAAGGCAGAGGGCATTCATTAGGGATTCCTCAAAATGGGGAGATAACACCAATGAGCACATATTCAGACAAGAGTCACATTTTTTTCACAGCATCATTCTGGATAATTTCAGACAGGATCATTCTTTTACAACTTAAACACTTGGGAGTAAGAAAAAGCTGAAATTCAATGCCATAGAGAGAACACTTTCAGATATTTATATGGGAATTACTTGTGAACACATATACGTGTATTTTACTTATGTCTGGTGCAGCCATTGATCAACACAGCTATATGTAGGCTTCCAAGCATTAAAAATATAGGACCATCCAGTATTCATCTATCATAAACTTACTATTCTTTACACAGCAAAACAACAAATAATAAGCTGTAACTTTAGAGACAGAGAGGTTGTTTCCTGAGCATAGAATAGGCATACTGTTCAAGATCTGTTTTGTCTTCTGATGATTTTTGGTGCAACAGAAGGTGATAGCTGCACGTGTTACTTTCACCAGCAGATTATCTGGCCTTCCTCATGCTAAAGGACTCGCACAACATACTTGCAAACATAGCTAACTGCTAGTTATTTCAGAGAAATAAATGAAGTAAACTATACGTGAAAGGTAGGAAGATGGTCTGATGGACAGAACAAAGGCTCACAAATTAGTGTTGATTAATTCTTTTCTTGTTGTCACCAATGACTTAGTATGTTGCCTGGGGCAATCTCTTATCGTCTCCATAGGATAGTTCCTGCATTTGCAAAATAGTATTAGCCAAAAGGAATCTCATTAAACACAATTAATGTTAGTGAAGAGTTTTGAGACCCTCATACAAAAGCTTCTATAAAAGTACAATCTGTCATCATATTGTACTGTGTCAGCATCTTTTGACCCACTTCTGAAATACATCCCACTGACGTAAAATGCAACATAAAGCCACACAGAATTAATGCACTTAGGAATTAGTGTTAGAAGTGACACCTACCCAACATACTACTTTCCCAAAGCTATTATGATTTCAGATATGCAGATAAACTGTAAATATCCTTGATTGAATTTGTTGAGGGGACAATGCAGAGAGTTTCCAAACTGTTCTAAAGCATTGGCTTGGCTTTTGATTCAGTAGATTATCAGCAGGGTTTAACCAATAATGGCCTCCCGTTCGAAATTTCTTATCCTAGTACAGATCCTGCTCAGCCTTCTTTAGTTTAAGAGTTGTGGTGAGATCACTTCCTTAGATGACACAGTTGCAGGCTGCTTAACTGTACTCAATTTTTCTGTGTAGAAATGGAACTCTCAGTACCATTTGTAACTGAAAGAAGATTCAGTTGATAATATTTCATAGGAAGAATTTTTGGTCTGTGGTCCACAGAATTACCCATCCGTACTGATGTTCTGGGGCACAGTTGTCCCCAGGCTGCACCTCCTGACACCTTGCTGCTTGGCTTGAGGGAGTAAGCAAGAGCACTTATTTCTGTGTTTGTCCTAACAACTGCTTGCTGACTGACTGGTTAACTCAAAACAGGAAAAGAAATAGAGTAAATGTAAATATGCAATTGCATTTTTGTGCTGTAGTCTGAACTGTGTAGGGGATATGATTTGGGCAAAGGTGTCATCTGTCTACTTTTGGTCATCTCTCCAAAGTACATTTGGAAAGCACTGGTTTGTTGTAGCACTTTATACATGTATGATATATGAAAGTACTCAGAAGGTGAATTCAGAGATTCTAATCAAATAAGGATCTTGAAAACAATTTATATTCTGGCTTTCTAGCGGACATGGTTCTGAGAGTTTTTGTTGGGCTTATTTCCAACAGGCTTGTCCTGTTTTACTATGAATGTTCTGTTTATCATCAGAGCTACTATTGTCTGTAGATTGATTTCATAAGAAACAGCATTTGTTCAAGGGGACCAATTGTTTTAGATTCAAAACGTCATAATCCTACTTTTACTAGAACTATGTCCTCCTCTCTGACTGTGCCGTTCAGTTGTTTAGTTTTACTTTTGCCAGTTGTGGTGAATCCTCAGATACGTCATATCCAATATGAAATATATATTTGAACATTTAGTAGGGGTTTAGATTTCTGGATTTTCTTTGTCAGTTTTATGATAAAACTTCCATAAATCTTCATCCAGAAAATGTATTTCTGGAATGGACTGGGTGGCTCACAAGAATTCTCAGTGCTTAGCAGGATAGAGTCGATGCTTCCCATCAAATTAATACTTTTGCATATTTTCAGATGTGTTCCATCTCTTTCCTCTGCTCTTCCATTTCTATCCATGCTCCATTTGAGCCCTTCTGTGTCTCCTGTTTTCCCATGCCTTCCTTTTCACTCCTTTCTCTGTGCTGCTTCTTTTGCCACCTCACTCTAGTTGGCTCCATTTCCCCAAATGCATTCCGCTTTATCTTTCTCCTATCTCACCCACAACCTGTGGATTCTTTCTCTAGAGCCCTGATTAAGAATGTAGGTAATATCCTGCTTATCTGCTCTCAGTCTTTAGTGCTGCCCAGCAGATTTTGTGAAATAAAATCTGAAAATAAATGTTTTCTGTCATTTTAACTATTAGCCTTGAGGACCTAAAACCCACAAACTGAGCTGCTTGTGTTTCTGTATGTGCATCATTAGTAATACTGTCTATTACAGTTCTGCTAGAGAGGTAGTCAGATGTATTAGTGTAATCATAATGGCAGTAAAGAAATTAGAAGGATGTATGTAGGTGTAATTTTGCCAGCATACATGTGTATATGCATATATATATATATATATATATATGGAGGAAATTATATGGAGGCACTTTTTTTTCTATTAAAACAATTATGCTTACTCTGAATGACAGACTGAGAAAATACACTTGGAATGCTTCTGCATCATTTTTTTACATTTAAATATTAGAACTGTAATTTTAAAGTTTTGCCTTGTATTTGCTCAGTCTCAAAGCCCTACATAGTGCCATATATCAGAAGACACATGCAGTTCCTTCCAGCAGCCTTTGATAATACTTTTAAACTAGAAGTGAATCACATTAGGGAAATAAAGCGATCGAGATGCTAGCAGATAGCCTACTAGGCAAGGTGAACCTCTGATCTGTTATATTATTTTAGTTCAATTATTCCTACGTCGCAGAGCTGTGGGAAAGATCATATATCAAATGTAGACTACATGTTTTCAGAAGATGTACTTAGCATGTTTTTTTGGCTTCTTGGATAACCTCCTTATGTCAAAGAATCATTATTGTTTGTCATTTTTGTCATAGTGTGGCTGTCCTTTTTCAATTCATGTAATAACAAACTGTTCTGGGCCTCAGATTTTATTGCAGTGTTAAAGGTGGCTTATACTAGAAGTTTATCTCATGGAGTAACAGATATTCCATGGGTTATTTATTACGAGTGAAACTCTGTAAAGTTCAGGAGCATTCAAGCTTTTCAAAGGGATTACGAGGCAGTATCCAGATGGCGTGCAGTGGGCATCTGACCCTCCTTCTTCTGTTCTCTTATGAGGCTGGGCATCTGACCCTCCTCCTTCTGTTCTCTTATGATGTTGCGTGAACATTGCAAGTCACCGAGAGCACAGCTGGGTAAGAAACACACAGTCTGCATTAACAAGAGTCCTGGCATTCACAAGTTGAGTTTATAATAGTCATATTCTCCAGTATTAGGTTACAGCAACAGTTAAGAGTCTTTTCCATAATTGCTGTCCACCTTCTCCCCTTGATTTAATCTCTCCAAGTAGCATAGACTTCACCTGCAAAGAACAGGTTGCCTACTGGAAAAACAAACTCTTACTGAAACCTTCTCATTCTGTTGACTAAGTTAATCCTTCTTCATAGCTCTGAGATTTCAAATTTTCTTTGCATTAACTGTTGACATTCTCACATCAAGGCCTTTTAACTAAATGCAGATAAACTAGAAGTTTGACACTGGGGAAAGTTACATGTTACTTAACGAGGGCCATTAGTTTGTTAGGACTGCGCATATTTGACAGTATTAGAAGTGTGTCAGCCCTACCAAGGGCACTGCTGTTCATTATTAATGTTTTCCAGTCACTTCAAAATGATTGTACTTCTTTTTGTACTCAACTAACAGTTTTTTCCCAGAACACATTAATCATTATTAGTTTTGTATCTCTATAGACTCTTAATGTGACAGAAGAAAAATTTGTGTTGGATACACTAACTGGATGCATCGAATATAAATCCTTATTGGATGTAGTAGTCAATGCCTTTTTTGTTCGGGATGGGAGATACTGCCCGAATTCTGAGCGTAATCTCTATGCAGGTAAGTTTTCTTTAAAACAGTAAATGTGTTTACCACAAAACTTTAACAAAATTTTACTAGTGTACGTCTTAATATTATAATATATTTGAAGCTTTGTCATTGTGCCCAGTGCAGTATGAACTACAGGACCTTTTCCAATTGCCTTATGATGTAAAACCTAAATCCTGACGTTGTTACTTAGTCTGGACTGTCACAGGTGTTAACTGGAACTTTACCCAAGAAAATTCTTCAGACTATGCCTGCAGATTAGGTAACGTGGAGATGGAAAATAGCATCGGTGACTGAAAGAAGTATCTTGGAAGTTTAACCGTTGCTTTAAAAAATGTTCTCCAGTGATTCCCCTTTATTCTCTTCTGTGCAATCTAGTACCTCTGCCATTCAGATATGAAATTGTGTAACAAAGCTCTGTCTGCTGAGGAACACAGCATGTCTCACAGTATTGAAACAGGATTGTTTCTGTCCATACAGGGGTTTCTTCATTACTGATCACTCAATGACATAGATTTCTGTCTCCATGAGTGAGGTCAATTACTTTCCTTTTATTAGTTACTTGGTTAGAATCAGTTACAATACAACTACATCTGATAGTGTGAGCCAGTTAATCAGAGTGGTTACTACTCCTGAAGTTATTTCAGGCATTGAGAAGTACATTAAAAAGTAATTTAAAATATATTTTTCTGCTGCATTTAATACACATATACTGAGGTTGATTTATTAAGTCCCCAAATAAGTCAAATCACAAATTGCACTGGCATTGGTTCTCTAAATCAGGTATGTTCTGAATCTTTGTGGGTTCTTTGAAAGCCCTGTCAATTGAATTCAAAGTGGTTGAAAAATACAAAAAACATACCTAATATATCTACATTTTATGTTTCAAAAGCTATTACATTTTGATGGTGATTCTGGTTGCTTCTGTCGCAATCTGGAAAGGTATAGAAATCTAAATCAAATAACAAACAAGAGGAACATAAACTGTGAAGGATGAAATTAATAATATATTGAGTTTATTCTAAATGGTAATGCTTCATTGTCTCCATTTCTCCAAAGCCATGTTTTTCAGTGTCTGGGTCACATAAATTATATCTTTAAGCTGAATGTGGCTGTAATTGGATTGTCAGGACTGGTCCACTCAAAAGCCCCCATTAATCATAGGCAGAGGGTAGACCCCAGAAAATTTTCCTTTATCAACAAGTTGCGAGTCTAAGGTCATTGGCTTACATTTTTTTAAGCTGCTTGTGATTCCCTTTCCCAAGCTGCATTGACACTTAAATGATCAAAGCTGCTTATAAAAGCTGTTGCTATGTGTGAGCAGATTTGAATTTAATAAAGCTTGTAGGAGATAAATGTATATTCTACTAAGACTGCTTAAATATGTTGCTATGCTAAAGCACAAGATTGAAGCCTAACGATACACTGAGTTGCCTGCAGCATGTTGGTAAGAATTTACTGATTTTATCATTACTATTTGGTGGTAGCTAAAATACTGCAGTGCAAGTGAAGCCTGATCGAGCAAAGTGAATATGGTCAAATGAAAGCTGGTAGGGGAGCTCATGAACTTTACAGGTCTGCAAAATCTCACAGTGCCTCTTCCTGGATCAAACTGCATGCTTGCCAGAGGGCATGCAAGAATCAGATTTGGATTTCCCAGAGAATTTCACCACTTAAAAAACCTGAGTTCATTCTAAAAACTAAGATTACAACACTTTCTGAGTGTGTTTTGGTTTTGGTTTTGGTTTCAAAAAAAACACCTCCAAGGAAATTAAATAGTAGAAATACGATATTTTATGTTTCAAATTTTTGTTATGTATTATATTCTTATGTATAAACTATGATTTTGGACCAGAATAATAAGAACTATCCTTTCTGAAAACATGAAAGAGAGATTATGTTGAAAAATTCACTATCAAAACTTCCTTTTATGTCTCCTGTTCACATTAAATTTTCTTAGAATAAGCTTGCTTACAGTGAAAATTTTGTTTACACAAAAAAAAGGCTGTTTCCCACAATGTAACTGTGCAGTCATGTCTCTCAGGAGCCATCTGACTCCTGTTCTCCCTGCCTTGTAGCCAGACTAACAGAGGATTTCACAGATGGAATACACAGATATTGCCAAACAGGCTGCCGTTCTTCTCATCACTGGCCACGCATTCTCACCCCTTTGTCATATCTTCTCTTGACCTAGAACTTGTGTGTAACAGCCATCCAGTGACGCGATAAGGAAGTGCTTCAGCTTAAAATTCACAAAGTTTTAACTTGGCTGTGTGGTGACTGTACTTGCCCAAGGGAAGAAACACCAGGAAGTGAAAGGAGGGGATGTGAACACGCAGTGAGGGGTTGACAGAACTGCTTATTTTAGTGGTGATGTTGGCATAATGAAATGACCGTGAAGTCATGGCAAGATCTTACCTTGGGCCTTAGGGGATTCCAAGTGCTGCTGTGGTAGATCTCCCAGTTTTGCAAACAGACATTTGCAGGCATCAGAAGGACCTCTGTGAATGACTTCAGATAGCTACAACTGTGTTACATGTTTTGTGTAAGTGACCAGATCCTCAGCTGTTGGAATTTCCATAAAAATTTGTAGATTTGCAGTAGCCTGGGTCTGGCTCATGATAGAGAGAACTGATATGAACCACAGCATAGACTCACGATGCTAATAATGAACATGGGGTTAAATTATAACTTCATATTACAGTTTCTCATTGTCAAGCATTATTTTGCCCAGTTAGATAAACAACATTGAAGACTTTTTAAAATTAAAGTAACAGTCTACATCCCAGAGTGTGCAGAATATAGGGTATAAGCTTATTAGAATTTCCTGCTGCATCTTAAATATATGTATCTTTTGATAGTTATTTGTTATCTGGCTACTTTTCAACTGGAAGAGCTCGGTCTTCAGCACTTCAGCAGAATCGTGAAATCTCTGGACACAGCAAAAATGCAAAAGGTAATGAAAGTACAAAATATTGTTTAAAAAATAATTAATGATATCTTCATTGTGTTTAATTAACCAGCTTACTTTTCTCAATTTTCAGGACAATTTAAATTAGGAAATTAGTGTTATTTTGATTGAAATTGAGAAATTAAATTGGTATTTTGTTATCACAAACATTTTTAATTTCTAAACTTATGCAGTGACTATCTCATATTCAGTCAACGATCAAGTCAAAATATATTTTATATAATCCAAGAAGGTAAAATAATCACATGATTTACAGGTATGTGATTTGCAGTTGTCCATCTAACTCCCTCTAACTCACTCTTGGCTCTGTTCACATTCTTTCTTTGACTTTAGGCAGGAGAGGAAGGTTTTTTCCATACTCAATCTATTGAAACTTGCAGTTCCTGCTGCTTAGTGTTCTTTTTTACCTGAACAACCCACTGCCACTTTGATTATCGAGCCTATTGTCCTTCCATCTCTTTTTCTCCTTCCCAAAAAATTGCTCCTTTGGAGCTATGCATGTACCAGTTACCCCATTACAATATAGGTGCAATTGGCCAAACCATTGCTGCCAAGTAGTAAGCATGACAACAAAGCTCTGCCTGCCTTTTCCTCTCTGGAGTCACAGATTTGCATTTCGCTCTGCTACTTGTTTGCTAATTTGTATGAAATTTGTAGAAATATACATATCTTCTGCTTCTCTTTCAAACTAGTTGAAAGTGCTGATTATCTTAAAAGCTATGTTGTAAAGAGGGGGAGAGGGATAAACTGAGTGTCAATCCTTTCTTATGAACCCTGTTTTCTCAGGAAAATAGGTTAAAAATTAAATTACTGGTGACACAGCTTATGTAGACTTTGATCATGAAGATGTTTCAAAGCGTAGTCCAAACACAGCATTTCAATAACAAATGTGGAATTCAAGAGATAGGTATTAGTAATTAATACTCAAAAGGCTAAGGTTTATCCTTCTACCGATTACTCCGAATGTTCATGTGGATGCCAGCGACTTGTTAAAGAGTTGAGTTGCTTTGTAATATATAGGAGAGCGTAGGTTAGGTTGTCTGCATGGCGTTTTTAGAAACACTATTCACTGTGTTGTGGTGGCCTTACTATGGAATGGTTTTTATTAATTCCATTCAGAGACAAAAATGATACCTTTCATTAACTGTTAGAAAGAACAGAGAAGTGGCTGGAAGAATTATCATAATCTGGTAGACAGACAAATCACTCTGTCTGAAATGCTTTCCAAGCTCTTCTTTGGTAAACATCGTAGACACAAGCCACTGGATTGGATGCATCTTGAGCTCATTCAGCTAGCAACACAATTTTCCCACTTCATGCCAGTTATGTCTTGTTGATTCCATTCACCTAGCTTTATGTGGCTTCTGTGTCAGTGCCCTGATGTTCTGTTTCAGATAATTTCTCCTTCCTTGTCTGGAATAACACTTTTCTGATAGGGAAGCGCTGCGTTATGCGATGGCCTGCACCTGCTACATTTTTTCCTGCAGATGTAACTTGGTTTGCTTAAGTATCTTATCAGATCATCATCACCATGGTACCTAGGTTTCCTTCTCTTGCATTAGAAAAGATTCTTTGTCTCCAAAGTGATGCTGGATTATATTAATGCACCTGCAGCAGCAGATTTAGAACCAGCGTTTGGTCCCCCCAGCAACAGTGACAAAAACAGCAGAAGGCAGATCTGCAGCCTTAGCAACAGAAGTTGTCAGAAATTTGGGATTCTCCTTCAGGATGCTGACCTGTAGATTTTGACTGATGACTATTCTGTCTGAGTTCAGCTGAGATGCAGAAAGATTACTCACATATATTTACTTAGAATAGATTTACTTTAATTATTTTTTTCCTACACATCACAAGCTGAATGGAATTTTCTTAATCATGCAGATAAACCTTACTCAAATGAATAGTTTTCATGAAATTACATGGACTATTCACTTGAATGAGATCGACTAGCGTGAGTAAACCTTCCTCTTGAAGGACTGCATGATAAAGTCCATTCAAATCAGTCATAGCGTTTCCCTATGATTGATGCGTGTTCAAAAATTTTCATCTAGGAGGAATATCCAGGCAGAATAATGCTGCCTCACTAACACATGCTCATCTGCTTGAACAGAAAAACATAAGCTCTCATTCTGTAATGTTAAGAATGCATGCAAAAAATCTTTATGGTTGTATAATTACAAAACCATAGGATAAAACACCATTCTGTAACTTTAGTGTGATTGTTCTTCTAAGATCTTAGCTATGTATTGCTAACTCAAGCCTATTTTTCTGTTCTATTATTCATACATGTTTTTCTTTTATATTTGTTGTAAAATTTATGTGTTTGTATATTAGAGAAAATGCACTGTTGAAACAAAAAGTCGAAGGAAACAGCTTTATAATTTCATAATCGGCTTGTAAAAAAGGCAAAATAAGTAGTGTTTTCTTTCTAGCATTCAAGAACCTGTTTTGTTCTGTTTCATGTTCTGATTGCTTCTAACAGCAGTAAAGTCCTTTATAAACAACTTTTCAGATTTGAAAATGAAGATCAGTACATAAGAACTGGGTATTGTAATTGCTATTATGATGAGGTAGGAATAGCAGGACAAGATCAGTAACAAGTAGGACAAGATCAGCCTCGTGGTGAACATCAGAGTAAAAATAGTCCAAGTTGGGTCATACAGTGGCAGACAGACCTGAGACCATCCTAGGACACTTTTCCTAGCATAGACACTTGCATACGGGGGTTTAAAACCATGTTCTTTACAAACTCTGTGTATAGTCAGGGCCTTCCATAAGGTAAGAAGAGTACTTTGGCAGGGGACATGTTCACTGGGTCTTTAATCATATATACACCTGGGATACCCGGATGTAAAATTTTGTTATAATCAGTGGTAGAAGTATTGTATATACAGTGCATCAGTTCTGTTGCAGAGCATGAACTCTGTCTAGTCTTGGAGCATTTTACTTATACATTGCCTAAGTACAAATTGCTATGTTAGGTGAAAAATGTAATCCAACAGGCATGCACTACAGGGAAAGATCTTCCATAAGGAGAAGGAATGAATTTCTAGACCAATGGGATGAAATGCATCCCTTACCATATGCTTTGCAAACTCCAGTGAATCTGGAAGCACCAAAAAACCAACTTCTACACAGTTCAACACTTAGTTTATAGTCATGGCTTTAGGGGTGAAATATCTTCTTTTGGATGGTGTGCTGATATGCCAGCATCTGCAGTTTTGGGGAAGAGCAGTACTTTCTAGACAAGAATGGGTATCCAAGGGGGTAATATTTATTTAGTCCTTCAGTTGTTGATCAGTCTTTTGACTCTACCAAATACACAATAAATGAAAATAAGACTGAATTTACAGGTGAATTCCTTGGAAATGGTCACATCAAGACTATAGATTTTAAGGAGCAGGTTTTCTACACCTATTGAACACCTTAAGCCAAATCTGAATTCTTTATAGCTGAATTATTCACAAATCTCTGATCCACCTTGGGCCTGGCACCACATGTGAATTAAGAAGCTCCTTAATAGTACTCTGGAACTAAAAACTCAACACGAAGACCTATATGGCTCTGTGGAAACCACCTCAAGATAGGCTTATGCCAAATCTGAACTGATAAGCTCTGCAGTCTCCATTTGAAGCTTCTCAAGGGACTGCATACTGCTTTCCAGTATGACCCATGATGTCAATATTCTTTATTGTGTTTTTTTCTACTATGGGGATTATTTCAGCAAGATACTTGCTTGTACTTTCATTTCCAAGAATTCTGATGAAAAAGTTCCGGTTCAAGTTTGGAATTTAGATTGCTGTAAATGACACATGCTGGATCCGAGCACCATTTTTCAAGAGTCTGTTTCAAAAGGCCAATTGAGCAGTTCAAGTTTTAAAGAAACGCTCTTGTCCTTCTGGTGAACTCCAGTGGGAAACAAAAGTTCAAATGTTAGTTGCTGTTTCTCCAGCACGCAGAGCCCTACAGTGTGTAAGTGTGCCAAATTTCAGTCTTCTAGTTTAATGGGAATATGCCAATTAATTATGTTTCAATAAAAGAAGAAACTGTATGGTATAGCAGTTACTATAGTTCTCAGCAGTTCTCCCTGCCCAGTTCCCAGGGAGCTGAAAGGAGCTTAAGTAATTCAAGCACAGTGCCAGGCCTCACACATTTCTGGGCACCATGGATCATCTAGCTATACATAATCAGGAGTTTACTGTGGGTATTTAGACTCTGAAACTCTGTTGTATAATTATACTAAAATCAGTGTATTGCAGTACTAATTAGTTTTTAATAAAAACTTTTGTTTCACAATGTTTGAAGCAAATTAAAGATGCATCAACAATCCCGATGATGTAGCCCCTAGATTTTTTTAGGCCTCTCAAAGTATTTCAGCATCTGTTAGTGTTTCACTAAGTAGGGCTGAAAGACATGGGGCTGTCCTAACAGAACTAAGAAGAACCTACAAATGTCAAGCACCTATGATTATAATTACACGGTAAACTACAAGCAAGTTATTCAGCAGTGTTTGTGGTAAAAACAACTATCCTTTGTAGCTTTATATACACCATACCTTCAGTATTCATATTTAAAAGAAATCATGTATTATTTAGTTTCTTAGATTCTTCTTCAATGCCTTGTATTTGAACACATGGATAAAAGATGAATGGAGCCGATTCTACGATTCACTGTACGTAAAAGAGAACTGGATTGACCCACTGCTGAGGTAAGCAGTACTAAGTAGCCTGTGGGCATCTCAAAGTTTAAGTGCTGGGGAAAGCTCCACCTGAAAGTTCAATTTGCTGACAAAGTGTTTCTGCTGTTGAAATCACTTGTAACCCTTCTTGTCTTCCTGAGACTTTAATAATCCCTTTTACTTACCCAGAGGCTCTCTCATAGAAGGTTCTTTTACAGCTGTTGTACATTTGTTTCTCACTGTCCCTGAATAAATCAAACATCATACTCTAAAAAAACCCCAAAACTAAAACCCACAAACTTTGAAAGCTGAAATTATCTTACAGTTAGATTAGAGCCTCATAAGTCACTTCAACATCTGTATGACATTAAGCATATGAAAAAAGACGTTTGACTTCCCTGAGTTTGGCTTTATAGAATCACAAAATCATAGAATGGTTTGGGTTGGAAGGGACCTTAAAGACCATCTAGTTCCACCCCCCCTGCCATGGGCAGGGACACCTTCCACTAGACCAGGTTGCTCAAAGCCTCATCCAGCCTGGCCTTGAACACTTCCAGGGAGGGGGCATCCACAGCTTCTCTGGGCAACCTGTGCCAGTGCTTCACCACCCTCCCTGGGAAGAACTTCTTCCTGATATCTAATCTAAATCTCCCCACTTCCAATTTAACCCCGTTCCCCCTTGTCCTGTCACTACAGGCCCTTGTAAAGAGTCCCCCCCAGCTTCCTTGTCGCCCCTTCAGGTACGGGAAGGTGCTATAAGGTCTCCCCGGAGCTTTCTCTTCTCCAGGCTGAACAAGCCCAACTCTCTCAGCCTGTCCCCATAGCAGAGGTGCTCCAGCCCTCCGAGCATCTGTGTGGCCTCCTCTGGACTCGCTCCAACCAGTCTATATCCTTCTGATGTTCAGGGCTCCAGAGCTGGACACAGTACTCCAGGTGGGGTCTTATCCACAGACTTGTTTATGCTGATGGTCATAAAATCCCTTCTGAGCAAATCGGATAAGCATGTAAACAAGTCTTTTAAAATTATTACTTTAATAATAATTTAACAGTTCGAATGCTCTGAGGTGCCAGGTGTGTCCACACGTTGGTTAGGTGGTGATACAGTAGCATGCGTACTCTTTCCAAACTGGAACATTTTCATGTGGAGAAACAGTAGCTCTGCAACCTATTGTGTCAAGTTTTTCCCCTCTTGTTTTTACCCAGAACAGTTGAATTAGAGGCAGCATTGGTACACCAGTGCGACTGCAATCACACATCCTCCTCACTCCAGTATGGATTGAACCAGATGGTGGCAACCACTGTTAGATGAAAATATATTACAAACGTCAGCTGAAAAAGAGTTTGCATCTAGTTCTAACTGTCACATCAAAGTCAGGAGAATGAATGCTTTCATACTACGTAGATCATGCCAAATTAGCAAATGCCTAGTATAGATCTGGCTTGCAGTACCCCAAATTCCACCCCGTTCTACAGGAACTGCAGGGATATATTTGAAGTCAGAATTTTACTCAGTATATTCCAGTGTAGTAATTCTAATTATAACATATGCTTGCAATAGTATTAAGATAGAGATAGAGATGTATAGATGTAGACATGCATATCCACACTTTTTATATGTATAGATGCCTGTGGGCAGACACTTACTCTGTCGCTTGTTTCTCTAACACTAAGCTTATTGGAGCTGTCCTTCACAGGCAAATACATTCAACGTTAACAAACACGTGTTTTGCCTAGAGGTGGTAAATTTAAGTTGTACAAGAATGTTAAAGACCATATTTGGTTACTGGGTTTGAAACTTCCTTCAAGGGTCTCACCATGTATTTGTCAGTTTAATCAGTCTACTAGCTTAAATTCTTTTAAATATGTCTTTGTATTCCTCTTTCTGATGTCAATGAGGTTACTCTAAAGGGTCCTATTTATTCTAATGGAGCTGCATTACCTGCAGGTGTTACTTGCAAGCCTCGTGACATAGTGACAGTACTAGCTAAGGTAACAGTCACATACACAAGTTACTGTAAATTTACATTGTCAGCTGCTTTATAAGTTCTAGGAAAGCTTCACTGTGTATGTAATACTTAGGGGTAGAACACATACAGAGGAGGAGTAACTGACACAAAGCTGTCAGCATAATTAGCCTTGTGATAACTTCTTTCTGCCTTACCTTGAATTCTGCACCTTCCTGTCATTCCTTGGAAGAAGTCTAAACCTTCATACAAGCCAAAATCCCAACACAGAGAAAACAGAATCGACTGCACCACGGGGTTCACTGAAGATTCGTTTGCTAATTTAACAAACTCCTTGCATCTTTCTATTTTTTGTCAGAACTGCTTGTGCTGAGATTGATTTATATGTGCTCTGTCGGTCGGTGAAAGTGGCGATACTCAGACCACTGTTCATAGTCTCTTCATCTACAGATGTTACGTGTCTACTTAGCTTGTGACAGCTGCTTTTCTGATTCATAGTCTGATTCTGCTGCAAACCGAACTGGTGACATAGTTGCTTATTCAAGAAAAACTGTGGCTATTTCACCACTAGTAGTGTCAATGGACTAGTATCTATCAAGAGGTGAATAACACAGGCCAGCTAAATCATGAGTCCAGTTTCATAGGTCAGTTTTATTAAAGTTGAATGACTGAAAGCATTACAGAATTTACACTAATGCCAACCTCATATACTGCATGTAAGTTTGTATGACAGAAAAAAATGAAAGAAAATTGATAAATCTCTTTTTATTTGAAGATGGCAGCCGGAAGTGCAGCAGCTGATTGAACAGCTCACAGATAAATTACATAATCGTACTACCACTGTCAAGACTTCGATGGTCACTCAGCCAAAGGAATTTAATTTGACTGTACCCAAACCACGTGCCATTCCTATACCTCTGCCAATACCGGTACTGGAAAAAAGGACACCTGTGAGTTTTTTTTATGCTTAGAGAGGTACTAAGTTTTATGTATGCATGTGCACAAAGTCATGATAGGGAGTTAATAATCTTAAAATATTTGTAGAAAATCTACATCCTTTGACAGATCAACAAGGATTTTTATAATATCCTGTTATTGAAGGTCAGATTTCTAAAAAAAAAAACCCCAAACTAATTCTGTAAGTGAATGTTTTTTAAGCAAATTGCAAATCAAACAAAGGAAAGGGAAAATGTTGGTTGTTGTAGTTGCTTTGTGGCTTCTGGAGGTAGAACTATACGATGGGTACAAACTGATGACAGCATTCATACAGGTGTTTCTGGTAGACCTTGGATATGTAAGACGTTTGCTTTAGATAATGCACTGAAGCAGATAAGAAAAGAACATTCAAATGAAAATTCTTTATAAACTTAGACAGACCTTTTGTAGATTAATTCTAATTAAAATAAACAGCAAAGCAATTTCACTAGACATGAGATGAACTCTAGGTTTGCATCCCCTCCTTGAGGGTGGAATTTTATTCCTTTCTGTTTGTATTAATATTGAATCTCTAAAATTAAAGTTTTTCAGTTTAAATTTATTGCTTATGTGTGAATGAGACTAGGTTTATCTTTGAAATGCTACACACTCATTTTACACATTGTCTACGGCTGTTAATCAGTTACACTGGTACAAATCGGAGACCTGATTGGTTTTAAGTTAGCACACTGGGGGAAGGCAAACAGGATTTGGAGTCAAGCTGCTAAGACTAACTTAATAAAGACTCAAAATCTTCTAAATTTAAATGCAGTGGGAAGTGAGCTTGGAAGTCATACTTTTGGGCATTATCTGCCACCTTGTATTAGCACTTCAGGTTTTAAATAATACATGTGTTGAATGCTCTTAGAAACCATTTACATCTTAGGATGGCAGAGCAATTTAATGGTAGTGTGTTATACAGTTAATGGGATTTTACATTGAAACAGCTTAATACCAGGCTCTGAAAAACTGCATTTAATAACTAATTAATCAGTATAGGAATGAGTCATATTGCTGTCATTTTAGTACCTTTATGCTACGCAGCCCCACTTAGAATAAATGTTCTCTAATGGAGATGCATTTACTGAAGTTTATTTGTGTTGTTAGGATTATATTAAATTTGCTTTACATTCTGGCCAAGTCTGCAAATTTAAAAGCTTGTGTGAATCCAAAACCATTAGCGTAGTGGTGACATATGTTGTGCTCATTTCTGTACCTATCTCAGCAAATTAACTTCGCTTTAATTCGCCATATTGTTGCCACTATCACCATTTTAGATCCTGAAATGAACAGAGACTGAAAAGACAACCCAGATGGCAAGAAAGAGTTAGTAAAGTCAGAACAGGCCATAGTTTTGGCTAGTCTGTGGTGGAGAGTTGTATGGAATTGAGAGGAATGAACGGAAATAAAGCTTTTCCAGATTACATCCCATAATCTGCTGCAGGAATTTCTCACAAAGTTGTTAGTTTTATGAGATACCCATTTTTTCTCATGGTTCTCAGGCACCTGTCAGTCAGGGAACTTGTCATGTGGCATATTAAGCAGCGACTATTGTAGACACAATAACTACAGGCGTAGTTACCGCTCAACTTTGAAACAGCTCTGTGAATTCATACTGAGGTGCCTGGGTTTTCAGCAATGATTGTGGATAAGTTATTACATTCCTATGATGAAATTAGTTCATTTTGATTAATAGGATTATTATTTTAGGTATTTCTGTCTGCTAGGTTGCATTGTATTCTATAGTAGAGATAGTAAGTAAGATGAGCAAAGTAAGATGAGATGTATCACATGCAGTGAGTTCAGGAACTGGGATAGTACTGCTGTCCTATACGCTGACCACATGAATCCTTCACAGGAGAGGACTGGAGATTTGGGTTATTCAGGGTAGTTGCCTTACTCCGTGATCTATACTGACATGGAACTCTCCGCTGACCTTGGAAAGTTTTGTTGGAGTAACATAGGCCTAGAAAGTTAGGATAATCATTCATCATCATAAACATTCATCAGAAATGGGGGACACTAAGTGCAATGGAAAAAACAATTTAATTTTGAAATTTAATAAGGAAACATTTCACTCTAAATATTTGGTCTAAGGATTATTAATTCTTCTCTCCGCTGTCCTTTGCCCACAAGCACATGGATGCACACACAAGCATGCACATATGCATGCACCCATTCATAAATACAATTTTACAAAGAAAAATGAGTGCTTAGCTTGAAGTTTGCAAAGGAAACAAATGGAGGCAGGTGCTTAAACCTGATAACATGCAAAATGATTTGGACACATTTAACTTCCTTGGATATCTTGGCCTTGAGTTACAAATAGAATCCATTCTATTAACATCCCCACTGTGCTAGAATAATAAAATTATGCAATTATTTTATTTTTATATTTTCTGTAAACCAATAGCATAGTTATAAAAAATAAAAAGGCCACACTGAGACGTTATTATGACACCATTCAGCAAAATCTAGTGTATTTTTAAGGTATTTTCCTTATTATTTCAGCTGTGCTTTATGAATGGAGGTGCTTGACTGTTAAAATAATTAAATGGGTGATTTCATTTGGCCAATACAGAGCATTTTGTTTACAAATATATAGACCCAACAGTATATTTATCTTTATGATCTTGTTACGTATAGAAATAGAAGCTCTTAATACAGTAGCATTGCATTAGCTTGCCCTTGTCCATCTTACAAGAGTAACTTAAAAAAAATAGAAGAATTATGACTACCAAAGTTCCAGTGGTTATTCGTGTGGTACCTACTCCATAAATAAACCTCTGGTAAAAGGATATCCAGAAAGCTGGAGAGGAAGAGCAAGGTTGGTGTCTCTCACTCCTAGCCCCCTTTTTTCACATCAGGATTAAGTAGATACAGTTTAGCCTTTTTGACCTCTCTATTGCTGAAACTGAGAATTTACTTACATTGACCTATTCATCCTCTTCCGGCAACTGGGTAATTGCTATATGGATTGTCTGTCTGTCTGACTGGTACTCATCACCGTGGTATCTGAGGGCTAAATTACAAGGCTAAGATCATTTTTGAAAGAGCTGATTGAAAAGTCTCCTCCTTAAATTGCTTGGAATAAGCATAGCATTTTCTGAGGAGAGATTTTCAGCTTACACTGGCAGATGAGTACAGTTTTGCAGGTAAAGCACGTGACTAGGAAGACGAGGGAAATAAACTGATACTCATTGCCTGTGCAACCCTTTGCAAATCCCCTGGGCTTTAATTTCTCCATCCATAAAAGCATAATAAAACTTCTTAGTAAGTGCTGTGTAATACTTTCAGTTCAGCTTCACTTAAAAAGCTCACAGAAATACTTGAGCGGTCTCACCAGTGCATTTAATGCGAGCTTCTTCTGTCTGTGTATTTGTTTCGCCTGTAGATAATGATGTTGAATAGCAAAGGCAGTGGAAAGTACATCAGATTCATGAGTTTTTCTTTATATAGTCCAGTTAGGCTAGATGGGATCCCAAACTGACCTCCAGTACAATAGAGATTACAGATTTTTCCCATTAATTCTTGAATTAATTCTGTAACTTCTAATTGATCTAGAACATATTTAGCAAGATAAATATTTAAGAAGATATCCAGTAAACTGGAAGACTATCTCACCCACATAGGAAGGAGACATCCAGTCTTTTTTCAGTGTTTGCTTCTGGGCAAAATTTATTTATTTCATTTATTTGCTCAAGTAAACGTTGAAATACCCTCAAAGTTTCCTCCTAACCCAAAACCCTTGTCTCCTGTTGATCCATATGACAGCCAGACAGTAAGTCTTTCCTGGTCATTTATCTGTAGCACTTTCTGACATGTGAGTGTTTTCCCCTATCTTTGACTAATGCCACGAGGGTGCTCTCAGTCCACTGCCTCCACGCACTTAATCTACACCTCCAGTGGTATTCCCTTACAAACGGGTTAGGACAGCCATAGTAGACCAGAGCAAAGGCCCATTTTTCCCAGTGTAATGGGAAGACTACCGGGACAAGATAAGCACAGCTGCTGCTTTCTCCAACTGCCTTCTCGGCGTCCCACCATTTCAGTTCAAAGTCTACCCCAGTTACAATGAAGTTCTTGGGTATTTAATAAACTTAAAAGGATTTATCTTCCCTGGAGTGTCTGTAAGTTGTTACTACTACCACATGCTGTGCCTAAGAGCTGCACAGCTTAACTGTTCAGCTGCCCTACCTGGCTGTCAGTGCTGTGAAACTCAAGTTTATGAGAACCTTTCTCATAAACCTTTCTCAGAACCTTTCTCTTTTCCGGCAATTTCTTTTTCCCCTTGATAGGGCCTATAGGATTTATTATTTCTTTAGCCTTTCCTGTACTAGTTTCAGATTTTTCTTTCTTTCTAGTCTTTTGTCCAGGGGTTATATTACATTGGACAGGACTGAAAAGCCTGGGTAGTCGCAGCTAATTGGAATCTGTCCATGTCTGTCCATGTCCATCTGTCCACTAGCACTAATAGAAAAGAATCAATATTTTAAAAATAACTGCAGCTGTTCTACAGTAGAAGTGAATGTGTTTATTTTCCTGCAAGAATGTGTTGCTTGGAATGTTTTATACCCCATATTGTGGAGATCATTGCCTTTTAATATAGGTTCCTCCAAGCACCTACAAACATCCAAAGGAAAAAAAGCAACTTGAGGAAATCAAAGCAAAAAATCGCCGAAAAGCAGAAGTAAGTGTATTATGTTCCTGTTCTAGTCCTTCCTTTCTTCTAAACTGTTTCTTCTGTAATGTTCCATTTTCACAAGTCTTAGAATTTTATCTGAAACATATTTACTTTTGTACCTAATAGCTCCTGGCCCTTTCTTTAGAGACATGACGTTTGTATCCTCTGTTTTGTTCTGTCACCCTTTTTCCATCTTCCTTATTTTATTATTAATTGTCTGAGACAAGGTCCGCCTTTTACTCACTGTACAAGTACTATATGAGAAATTACGCGAGTAGCCCTGTAAGGTAGCAGAAACACGTTTGCTTTCTTCCCTTCACGAGCTTGAAATAGTTCAATGGCTCTTTCACTCCCACAGGACATGTGGATATTTAAGGTATTCACTTAGTAATTAAGGCTTCAAAATACAAAATACGTTCAATATTTTCATTTGTTTTCTATAGTAACTGATAAATAACCACATGTCATCACCCACTGTTTTAAAATATCGGCAGATTCTGACTTTTTTTTTGTGCAGACTCCGTACTCTTTCCTTTCGCACGCTGAGAGAGTGGGAAGTAATTATGGTTTGTAAAGAAGCAGAGTACATGGTCTGTGTGTAAAGAGAGCAGGGAAGGGCAGGCCTTAAAAAACCAAAGAAACAGATCTAGTTATTTGATCCAAACTTTGATATGAATCCTGTTCCATGAGTTAGCTCCTATCATAGTTAAAGCAGATTGTTGTCTTCTCCTTGGAAGGGAATTAATTAAATGTCAG